ACAGTGAAGTAATGGACTCAGAATTGCTGCTAGCACAACACAAAGCCTGGACACAGTGAAGTTATGGACTCAGAACTGCTGCTAACACAACACAAAGCCCGGACACAGTGAAGTAATGGACTCAGAACTGCTGCTAACACACTGCGTAACATGCAGGTTACTACAGGTACCTGGACGGTATCATGTTGATCTGGGGTTACTACAATGATCTATAGTCATATCATTAGGACTCAGGACAATGATCTATAGTCATATCATTAGGACTCAGGACAGTGATCTATAGTCATATCATTAGGACTCAGAACAATGATCTATAGTCATATCATTAGGACTCAGGACAATGATCTATAGTCATATCATTAGGACTCAGGACAGTGATCTATAGTCATATCATTAGGACTCAGGACAATGATCTATAGTCATATCATTAGGACTCAGGACAGTGATCTATAGTCATATCATTAGGACTCAAGACAATGATCTATAGTCATATCATTAGGACTCAGGACAATGATCTATAGTCATATCATTAGGACTCAGGACAGTGATCTATAGTCATATCATTAGGACTCAGGACAGTGATCTATAGTCATATCATTAGGACTCAGGACAATGATCTATAGTCATATCATTAGGACTCAGGACAGTGATCTATAGTCATTTCATTAGGACTCAGGACAATGATCTATAGTCATTTCATTAGGACTCAGGACAGTGATCTATAGTCATATCATTAGGACTCAGGACAATGATCTATAGTCATATCATTAGGACTCAGGACAGTGATCTATAGTCATATCATTAGGACTCAGGACAATGATCTATAGTCATATCATTAGGACTCAGGACAGTGATCTGTCGTCATATCATTAGGACTCAGGACAATGATCTATAGTCATATCATTAGGACTCAGGACAATGATCTATAGTCATATCATTAGGACTCAGGACAATGATCTATAGTCATATCATTAGGACTCAGGGCAATGATCTATAGTCATATCATTAGGACTCAGGACAATGATCTATAGTCATATCATTAGGACTCAGGACAATGATCTATAGTCATATCATTAGGACTCAGGACAGTGATCTATAGTCATATCATTAAGACTAGGACAATGATCTATAGTCATATCATTAGGACTCAGGACAATGATCTATAGTCATATCATTAGGACTCAGGACAGTGATCTATCGTCATATCATTAGGACTCAGGACAGTGATCTATAGTCATATCATTAGGACTCAGGACAGTGATCTATCGTCATATCATTAGGACTCAGGACAATGATCTATAGTCATATCATTAGGACTCAGGACAGTGATCTATAGTCATATCATTAGGACTCAGGACAATGATCTATAGTCATATCATTAGGACTCAGAACAGTGATCTATAGTCATATCATTAGGACTCAGGACAGTGATCTATAGTCATATCATTAGGACTCAGGACAATGATCTATAGTCATATCATTAGGACTCAGGACAATGATCTATAGTCATATCATTAGGACTCAGGACAGTGATCTATAGTCATATCATTAGGACTCAGGACAGTGATCTATAGTCATATCATTAGGACTCAGGACAATGATCTATAGTCATATCATTAGGACTCAGGACAGTGATCTATAGTCATATCATTAGGACTCAGGACAATGATCTATAGTCATATCATTAGGACTCAGGACAGTGATCTATAGTCATATCATTAGGACTCAGGACAATGATCTATAGTCATATCATTAGGACTCAGGACAGTGATCTATAGTCATATCATTAGGACTCAGGACAGTGATCTATCGTCATATCATTAGGACTCAGGACAGTGATCTATCGTCATATCATTAGGACTCAGGACAATGATCTATAGTCATATCATTAGGACTCAGGACAGTGATCTATAGTCATATCATTAGGACTCAGGACAGTGATCTATAGTCATATCATTAGGACTCAGGACAGTGATCTATAGTCATATCATTAGGACTCAGGACAGTGATCTATAGTCATATCATTAGGACTCAGGACAATGATCTATAGTCATATCATTAGGACTCAGGACAGTGATCTATAGTCATATCATTAGGACTCAGGACAATGATCTATAGTCATATCATTAGGACTCAGGACAGTGATCTATAGTCATATCATTAGGACTCAGGACAGTGATCTATAGTCATATCATTAGGACTCAGGATAGTGATCTATAGTCATATCATTAGGACTCAGGACAGTGATCTATAGTCATATCATTAGGACTCAGGACAATGATCTATAGTCATATCATTAGGACTCAGGACAGTGATCTATAGTCATATCATTAGGACTCAGGACAGTGATCTATAGTCATATCATTAGGACTCAGGACAGTGATCTATAGTCATATCATTAGGACTCAGGACAGTGATCTATAGTCATATCATTAGGACTCTGGACAGTGATCTATAGTCATATCATTAGGACTCAGGACAGTGATCTATAGTCATATCATTAGGACTCAGGACAATGATCTATATTCATATCATTAGGACTCAGGATAGTGATCTATAGTCATATCATTAGGACAATGATCTATAGTCATTTCATTAGGACGTCCAGTAGACTGTTTTGGCCCTAGGCGTACCGTGTGTGTCTGCGTCTGGTGTGTGTGTGTACTCACTCGGAGCATGGGTCCGTTCAGGAAGACGTGTGGTTCGTCACACACCACACAGAACTCATTCAGGACCGGAGTCCTCTGCTCAGCATACTCCATGGTCTGAAGAGACAACACGGCATAACACATGTCAGTGGATCAAACCTGCTGTTGACAAAACCGTATTATGGGGGTGGCTTTCCCAAAGCCTTCACAGCTAAAGGTTAATAGTTGACAACACAAACAAAAAACGCAAACCAACAGACACTACACAAATACACATTTATCCCTCCCCTCCCCCCGTAGTGTACAGTATGTATTGTCGGCAGTATTTACCTGAACAAGGAAGCCTCGGTCTCTTATCGGTATAGACTTGGCCCCATTGTTTGGCTGTAGAGGAAGAGAGGGCTGTTTAATAATCATCAGATATGATATGAGTTAAACCAGGTTTATTTCTATAAATTATTATATTATTTTACATGTCTGTGCACCAAAATGGGTTAACAATTCATGTTTCCAATATGACAAATAACGATCAACCAATCGTGAGAGGACTACTGACAGCCAACCAATCACGATCAACCAATCACGAGCTGCCTTACTGACCGGTGGTGGCGTGGCAAGCGAGGGGGCGAGGATCCCGATGAGCCCTGAGGTAAGAGAGAGCCGCCTCCCCTCGGACGGAGCCACAGAGTCCTTGAAGATGTCCACAGCCTTGCCCATCTTGGTACTGCTGGAGTAGGACCTGCAGTAACATGGAGTCACATGTATTGATGAGGTATTAGGACCTGCAGTAACATGGAGTCACATGTATTGATGAGGTATTAGGACCTGCAGTAACATGGAGTCACATGTATTGATGAGGTATTAGGACCTGCAGTAACATGGAGTCACATGTATTGATGAGGTATTAGGACCTGCAGTAACATGGAGTCACATGTATTGATGAGGTATTAGGACCTGCAGTAACATGGAGTCACATGTATTGATGAGGTATTAGGACCTGCAGTAACATGGAGTCACATATATTGATGAGGTATTAGGACCTGCAGTAACATGGAGTCACATGTATTGATGAGGTATTAGGACCTGCAGTAACATGGAGTCACATGTATTGATGAGGTATTAGGACCTGCAGTAACATGGAGTCACATGTATTGATGAGGTATTAGGACCTGCAGTAACATGGAGTCACATGTATTGATGAGGTATTAGGACCTGCAGTAACATGGAGTCACATGTATTGATGAGGTATTAGGACCTGCTGTAACATGGAGTCACATGTATTGATGAGGTATTAGGACCTGCAGTAACATGGAGTCACATGTATTGATGAGGTATTAGGACCTGCAGTAACATGGAGTCACATGTATTGATGAGGTATTAGGACCTGCAAAAACATGGAGTCACATGTATTGATGAGGTATTAGGACCTGCAGTAACATGGAGTCACATGTATTGATGAGGTATTAGGACCTGCAGTAACATGGAGTCACATGTATTGATGAGGTATTAGGACCTGCAGTAACATGGAGTCACATGTATTGATGAGGTATTAGGACCTGCAGTAACATGGAGTCACATGTATTGATGAGGTATTAGGACCTGCAGTAACATGGAGTCACATGTATTGATGAGGTATTACGACCTGCAGTAACATGGAGTCACATGTATTGATGAGGTATTAGGACCTGCAGTAACATGGAGTCACATGTATTGATGAGGTATTAGGACCTGCATTAACATGGAGTCACATGTATTGATGAGGTATTAGAACCTGCATTAACATGGAGTCACATGTACTGATGAGTATTAGGACCTGCATTACATGGAGGTATTAGGACCTGCAGTAACATGGAGTCACATGTATTGATGAGGTATTAGGACCTGCAGTAACATGGAGTCACATGTATTGATGAGGTATTAGGACCTGCAGTAACATGGAGTCACATGTATTGATGAGGTATTAGGACCTGCAGTAACATGGAGTCACATGTATTGATGAGGTATTAGGACCTGCAGTAACATGGAGTCACATGTATTGATGAGGTATTAGGACCTGCAGTAACATGGAGTCACATGTATTGATGAGGTATTAGGACCTGCAGTAACATGGAGTCACATGTATTGATGAGGTATTAGGACCTGCAGTAACATGGAGTCACATGTATTGATGAGGTATTAGGACCTGCAGTAACATGGAGTCACATGTATTGATGAGGTATTAGGACCTGCAGTAACATGGAGTCACATGTATTGATGAGGTATTAGGACCTGCAGTAACATGGAGTCACATGTACTGATGAGGTATTAGGACCTGCAGTAACATGGAGGAATTTATGAGGTTTGTCTGTTTATTTATTAAACACATTTTTCCTTTGGCGGATTACAGTTCAGGCGCTACCATAGGCTTCTATGGAATGCGGTTTCTCATCTGGGTAAAGCCATAACAAAAGGGTGATAACAATCTCCCAAAAAGACTGCAACAACAAAACTATTTTTCTATTGCTATTTCCTCTAATAAAAAGAGCACCAATGCATTCTAAAATACTTTTGTTGTTGAGGTGTATTTGGCAGATGCCATCACCCTCTCTTTTTCGTATTATCACATCTTACCTGCTGAGCAGGTGGTGGTGTTTCAGTCCATCCAGCTCCTCCGTCCTGATAGAACCAGAGCACGACCTACTGAGCAGCCTGTGGTGCTTCAAACCACCTCCAAGACTACCTCCTCCACCACGCAGGCCCATCCCACCACCACCTCCTCCCCCACCAGTGTGCTCACAGCGGGGGTCGCCGGAGCACGAGCGAGGCAGGAGCTTGTGGGGAGCGGGGCGGAGGTCCTCCGGTTTGACCACAGCCGAGCAGGGCCTGCCCAGGATGCGGAGGGGTTTGAGGGGCAGGGGTCCGGCGCAGGGCCCTCCTCCGTGATCCATACGGGGGTCTGCGCTAGACAGGGAGGGGCCAAGGAGACGGTGGGTGGTCTTGGTCCCAGGGACCTCTGCCTCAACCTGCTGTTTGATGGTGCTGGAGCATGTCTGACGGAGCAGGCGGTGGGATTTAGAGACGCCATCTTGTTCCGGCTTCGGCTTCTTCTTGCTCTTGACAGAGCCGGGAGGCGGGTAGCTGGGAGATCTGGGGAAAAGATTAAGATAACTTTATTGTCCAATGTACACAAACGGGGGGAACGAAGACAGTAAACCCAGGCTCAATTCTGCCTAACCAATCAGAGAGCAAGGTGGAGCTACTACCATACCAATATCATACCATATCATACCTATCTGATCCTTTTCAGATACAGTAAGTGCCTATGTGGTAAGGGACAATAATTGTCTGTAGTTTAATTATAGTGACAGACGGGTTCATATCAATACTTCTGTTTAGGGTTGAAAAATTCAGGTAACTTCAGTGGTTTTCCAGAAATCCTGGTTGGAGGATTCAGTATTTCCTGGTTGGAGGATTCAGTATTTCCTGGCTGGAGGATTCAGTATTTCCTGGTTGGAGGATTTAGTATTTCCTGGTTGGAGGATTCAGTATTTCCTGGTTGGAGGATTCAGTATTTCCTGGTTGGAGGATTCAGTATTTCCTGGTTAGAGGATTCAGTATTTCCTGGTTGGAGGATTCAGTATTTCCTGGTTGGAGGATTCAGTATTTCCTGGTTGGAGGATTCAGTATTTCCTGGTTGGAGGATTCAGTATTTCCTGGTTGGAGGATTCAGTATTTCCTGCTTATTCCCTCCTGATCCCGGGAATCTTCCAAGCAGGATTTCTAGAAAATCAGTGAATTTTAGGAAAGTTACCTGCATTTTGCAACCCTACTTCTGTTAGACATCAAATGTCAGTGCTGTGAAAATGACAGTGCTATGATGTTCTCTGACCTGCGGAGGGTTGAGAAGATGTGGAGGGGAGATTTGACCTTCTTCTTGTTCTTGTTTTTGTTGTGAAGGGAGTTGAGTTTCTCCTCACTTTGGTGTTTCCACTGCTGGGTGACAAATGTCTGCATTATCCTGGAGAGAAACAAGGACCAAATGTCTGCATTATCCTGGAGAAAAACCAGGAACAAATGTCTGCATTATCCTGGAGAAAAACCAGGAACAAATGTCTGCATTATCCTGGAGAAAAACCAGGAACAAATGTCTGCATTATCCTGGAGAGAAACCAGGAACAAATGTCTGCATTATCCTGGAGAGAAACAAGGAACACATGTCTGCATTATCCTGGAGAGAAACCAGGAACAAATGTCTGCATTATCCTGGAGAGAAACCAGGAACAAATGTCTGCATTATCCTGGAGAAAAACCAGGAACAAATGTCTGCATTATCCTGGAGAGAAACCAGGAACAAATGTCTGCATTATCCTGGAGAGAAACAAGGAACACATGTCTGCATTATCCTGGAGAGAAACCAGGAACAAATGTCTGCATTATCCTGGAGAGAAACCAGGAACAAATGTCTGCATTATCCTGGAGAGAAACCAGGAACAAATGTCTGCATTATCCTGGAGAGAAACCAAGAACAAATGTCTGCATTATCCTGGAGAGAAACCAGGAACAAATGTCTGCATTATCCTGGAGAAACCAGGAACAAATGTCTGCATTATCCTGGAGAGAAACCAGGAACAAATGTCTGCATTATCCTGGAGAGAAACCAGGAACAAATGTCTGCATTATCCTGGAGAAACAAGGAACAAATGTCTGCATTATCCTGGAGAGAAACCAGGAACAAATGTCTGCATTATCCTGGAGAGAAACCAGGAACAAATGTCTGCATTATCCTGGAGAGAAACAAGGAACAAATGTCTGCATTATCCTGGAGAGAAACCAGGAACAAATGTCTGCATTATCTGTATATTACATCTAACAAGTAATATGAGTCCTCTAGTGTATAAAGCTACATCTTAGCACCACCAAACACTTACTTCTTCAACTGATGTCCCAGTCCAAACCGGTCCTTAGTGGACATCTGGAACACGTCCACCGTGGGGACTGGGAAACACAATACACATCATGATGTAAACATAAAGCAATCCAATGTTGCTGCATGGTATGGTTTTATATGGTGCAGACAGTCCAGTGGTATGGTTTTATATGGTGCAGACAGTCCAGTGGTATGGTTTTATATGATGCAGACAGTCCAGTGGTATGGTTTTATATGATGCAGACAGTCCAGTGGTATGGTTTTATATGATGCAGACAGTCCAGTGGTATGGTTTTATATGGTGCAGACAGTCCAGTGGTATGGTTTTATATGGTGCAGACAGTCCAGTGGTATGGTTTTATATGGTGCAGACAGTCCAGTGGTATGGTTTTTATATGATGCAGACAGTCCAGTGGTATGGTTTTATATGGTGCAGACAGTCCATGGTATGGTTTTATATGGTGCAGACAGTCCAGTGGTATGGTTTTATATGAGGCAGACAGTCCAGTGGTATGGTTTTATATGGTGCAGACAGTCCAGTGGTATGGTTTTATATGATGCTGGGTGCAGACAGTCCAGTGGTATGGTTTTATATGGTGCAGACAGTCCAGTGGTATGGTTTTATATGGTGCAGACAGTCCAGTGGTATGGTTTTATATGATGCAGACAGTCCAGTGGTATGGTTTTATATGGTGCAGACAGTCCAGTGGTATGGTTTTATATGGTGCAGACAGTCCAGTGGTATGGTTTTATATGATGCAGACAGTCCAGTGGTATGGTTTTATATGGTGCAGACAGTCCAGTGGTATGGTTTTATATGATGCAGACAGTCCAGTGGTATGGTTTTATATGATGCAGACAGTCCAGTGGTATGGTTTTATATGGTGCAGACAGTCCAGTGGTATGGTTTTATATGATGCAGACAGTCCAGTGGTATGGTTTTATATGATGCAGACAGTCCAGTGGTATGGTTTTATATGACGTGTGTGTGTGTGTGTGTGTGTGTGTGTGTGTGTGTGTGTGTGTGTGTGTGTGTGTGTGTGTGTGTGTGTGTGTGTGTGTGTGTGTCTGGTACCTGGTCCATTCAGGTACTGTGTCAGAGAGCAGTGGAGACGCACGATCACCGGCTCCCTGCGGATCACATCCCATGCTAGGGCTATTTCCTCCTGTGAAATCAAAACAGGATAATATGATGCAGCATTCAATATTCAGGGACCCATTTCAGCTTGTAAACGCTCATCTTGATCGCTACCGTCATAACATGTCCTGCCACTCCTAAAATATAACTTCCACATTTCTAAATGAAGTATTCAAAGCATAAACAAATCTCAGACATTTTCTTTCACCCAACTGCTATTTCCCTTTTTCCCCCAGACATTATAGACACAGTATTTTACATTGTTACGTTACTACATTACTTGCAAATCAGATCAAATCTAACCAGCCCATCTTCCATTGCTTTAGGAATGCAAGGCAATGAGAATGGTATAAATGGAACACTTACATTTACATTTTAGTCATTTAGCAGACGCTCTTATCCAGAGCGACTTACAGGAGCAATTAGGGTTAAGTGCCTTGCTTAAGGGCACATCGACTGATTTTTCACCTAGTCAGCTAGGGGATTAGAACCAGCGACCTTTCGGTTACTGGCACAACGCTCTTACCCACTAAGCTACCTGCCGCCCCACCGTACTTACATCTAGGAAACTGACGTCGATGTGCAGATCAATGTCCACATCATCAATCGCACCGTATTCCCTGAACAACATGAAACAGATGAACATTTCCATACATCAGAAAACATAAAAAACATGTATCTCATATATGATCTCCTGAATAAACAATTGATTCATGACGATAACACAGATACATGGAATCCATTTCCAGTCAGTCACATTAGAAATTGATTATCTCAACATCTCAACACCTCAACACCAGAGGTCTCTTCACAGTCCCCAAGTCCAGAACAGACTATGGGAGGCGCACAGTACTACATAGAGCCATGAATACATGGAACTCTATTCCACATCAGGTAACTGATGCAATCAGTAAAATTAGATTTTTAAAAAGCAGATAAAAATACACCTTGTGGAACAGCGGGGACTGTGAAGAGACACACACACAGGCACATACACACATACACATAGACACTCACTCTACACACACGTACACATGGATGTTGTATTGTAAATATGTGATAGTGGAGTAGTGGCCTGAGGGAACACACTAAATGTATTGGGTAAAGTGTTATGAAATGTAACGTCATGTAATATTTTTAATTGTATATGACTGCCTTAATGTTGCTGGACCCCAGGAAGAGTAGCTGCTGCCTTGGCAGGAACTAATGGGGATCCATAATAAACCCCAGGAAGAGTAGCTGCTGCCTTGGCAGGAACTAATGGGGATCCATTATAAACCCCAGGTCTCAACATGTCACAGAGATATTGATTTAGTCTTTCCATCTTTAAACATGTTTTAAGTTGTATATAAGCATTCCAATGAACATGCATTATTCAGCACAGCTACCCTTTAATGGTGTAGAACCCCACCCTGCTCTCCCTGATGAGTCATCAGCAGTAGGGTCTGCTACACACCACCGTCCACACACACACTCACACACTCACACACACACACACACACACACACACACACACACACACACACACACACACACACACACACACACACACACACACACACCACACACACACACACACACACACACACACACACACACACACACCACACACACACACACACTCACACACACACACACACACACACACACACACTCACACACACACTCACACACACACACACACTCACACACACACCACCTCACACACACACACTCACCACACACACACACACCACACACACACACACTCACACACACACACACACACCACACACACACACACCACACACACACTCACACACACACACACACACACACACACACACACACACACACACACACACACACACACACACACACACACACTCACACACACACACACACTCACACACACACACACACACTCACACACACACACACACTGACACATGCACACACAGACTCACACACACACACACTGACACATGCACACACAGACTCACACACACACACACTGACACATGCACACACAGACTCACACACACACACACACTGACACATGCTCACACACACACACACACTGACACATGCACACACACACAAACACTGACTCACACACACACTGACTCACACACACTGACACATGCACACACACTGACTCACACACACACACACACACACTGAATCACACACACACACACACACACAAACACTGAATCACACACACACACACACTGAGTCACACACACAGAGACACACACACGTTGTATCTAACTCACAACAATTATCATTGAGAAGGACATGCCAGGGTTAGAGATCATTAGAGATGTGTGTTTGTACAGTGGTTCCCCAATTAAAAGTTTTGAATTTATGGCGCAGCACTCCGAGGTAAATTGTGGTATAGTGTGATACACTGCATCAGCGCAAGGGAGTTAGAATGATGATTCTGTTGGGTTCGGTGTAAAGCATTGGTACCAGGCAGTACGGTATAGTGATTCTGCTGTTGGGTTCGGTGTAAAGCATTGGTACCAGGCAGTGCGGTATAGTGATTCTGCTGTTGGGTTCTGTTGGGTTCGGTGTAAAGCGTTGGTACCAGGCAGTGCGGTATAGTGATTCTGCTGTTGGGTTCTGTTGGGTTCGGTGTAAAGCATTGGTACCCAGGCAGTACGGTATAGTGATTCTGCTGTTGGGTTCTGTTGGGTTCGGTGTAAAGCGTTGGTACCAGGCAGTACGGTATAGTGATTCTGCTGTTGGGTTCTGTTGGGTTTGGTGTAAAGCATTGGTACCAGGCAGTACGGTATAGTGATTCTGCTGTTGGGTTCTGTTGGGTTCGGTATAAAGCATTGGTACCAGGCAGTACGGTATAGTGATTCTGCTGTTGGGTTCTGTTGGGTTCGGTATAAAGCATTGGTACCCAGGCAGTACGGTATAGTGATTCTGCTGTTGGGTTCTGTTGGGTTCGGTATAAAGCATTGGTACCAGGCACTAATGTGTGTCTCTCCTCACTGAATGAATGACGTCAATGGATGAATGTGAGCTAGAAACCAGAAAGAAACTGATAATTGTACTCTTCACTTCACGATTTAATTTGAATGAATTGAATGATGAGGATGAAGAAGACGAGGGGGACTGAATTTAGAACAACAGTGTAAGAATTGCTCTTCCTCTGTCCCGCGCGCGCACGTAGAAGAATCTGTAACTGGACCGTAGCAATACTACTTACTAAAACTGTTAATGTCTAAGGTTTTCTTTCTAAGTGAAACAAAAATGTTCAGTTATATTCCATGATATTCTTAAAATATATACAGTGAGGGAAAAAAGTATTTGATCCCCTGCTGATTTTGTACGTTTGCCCACTGACAAAGACATGATCAGTCTATAATTTTAATGGTAGGTTTATTTGAACAGTGAGAGACAGAATAACAATAAAAAAATCCAGAAAAACGCATGTCAAAAATGTTATAAATTGATTTGCATTTTAATGAGGGAAATAAGTATTTGACCCCTTTGCAAAACATGACTTAGTACTTGGTGGCAAAACCCTTGTTGGCAATCACAGAGGTCAGACGTTTCTTGTAGTTGGCCACCAGTTTGCACACATCTCAGGAGGGATTTTGTCCCACTACTCTTTGCAGATCTTCTCCAAGTCATTAAGGTTTCGAGGCTGACGTTTGGCAACTCGAACCTTCAGCTCCCTCCACAGATTATCTATGGGATTATGGTCTGGAGACTGGCTAGGCCACTCCAGGACCTTAATGTGCTTCTTCTTGAGCCACTCCTTTGTTGCCTTGACCGTGTATTTTGGGTCATTGTCATGCTGGAATACCCATCCACAACCCATTTTCAATGCCCTGGCTGAGGGAAGGAGGTTCTCACCCAAGATTTGATGGTATATGGCCCCGTCCATCGTCCCTTTGATGCGGTGAAG